ACGCTAAACTAAGCTATCAATGAGTAACATAGGCTATAATTTGTTATTTTTTCGCTTTCACGCGGGCAAATTAGCGAAAACTAACTTTGTTTTATATATTTTATTAAAAATTGCACTTTGCCAAATAAATTTGCAAACATGGCCTATGTTGTGACGCTGTTAAATTAACATTATTACAAGATCTTTCGTCTGCAATCGGCTTACGGTAATTTCACATAATCTTGCCTCTCGCTTGTTCCGTGCTCTCGCTCGCACACACAGCACAGACGCAACGTGACAATGAGCCATGCTTTAAGACAGAAAACTTTTGAGCTTATCTTTGTGTATCTATTTGATGTTGAGGTACTAACGTTTTCACATTTGACGCCGCATCCACACGTTGACAACGAGTGATCAACGAGCGAAAACCGTTAAAAGCATCCGCTATCTTTTATTCACTAGTTTATCAAGCAAACAATCTCTGATCTTTACAGAAATTCGATTTTTATTAGCACCGTAAAACACTTTCAAGTCAGGCTAGAGTTACGTCAATCAGGTAGTCGCCGGAAATAGCGTCACGTTAGCAAATTGGACGATTTAATTGCGTTTACGTTACCAACTGAATACGAATTAGTTCCCGCTTTTGGAGATTACGTAACTTGCCAGCTTGCAGAAAGTACCGATGTGTTAAAATGAGATTAAATGACACATTAAGTATAGCTTCTGTAAACCCTTCTAATCTGAAGTTATAATACAAATTGAAATTTGTACATCGATACTTATTTTACAGAAAAATAATAAGTAGCCTATGCGTACTTACAGGCTATGTTCTACATTTTGACAAATTTCATCGATAGTAAATCCGTTTTAGAGATTGTAACAAACATACAAACTGTCACATCTGTATCTATATTCTATCTACTATATGTATATATAATAAAATTGGAGTGTCTGTTTGTAACATCAAAAGAAAAATTCCAAATTTCGGGTAGATGACGTATTTGCGTTGCTAATAATGAAAATCGCATGTACAAAATTTTTGTCTGTCTGTCGCGTTTGTTCCGGGTAATCTACAAAACGGCTGGATCGATTGCGACCGGACTTTTATTAAAGGGTAGCTTACATAGACGGGCATATTTTAGGCTACATTCTTAACTTAATGCGTGGACGAAGTCGCTAACAGCTACTTTGTAACATTAGTGTAATAATAAATTTTACCGTTCACCTTTACCTTGTAACAAACATAAATAACACTTACGTATAATACGGAAGATATCAAAAATCAGACCAACCCTTTCAATAGCAGTGTAAATGTTTACTTAAAGGCTTTATATATCCCTGGAGGTTGTATTTGTATAGTGAGAATACACCCTTATTCATACGGTATAGACAAACATTGGAAGAATCACAACTATTTGCCAAGCAAAGGATTCCTTTTATTGGATAAACTTGGAGTTTTCCTATTCTTTAAAAGAATAGAACAAACCATTCAATGTTCTTAAAATGTCTCGAATTTTAAGATAAGGAAGTCGGAATACAATTTTTATTTCTATTAACATAATTAGCAATGTTAATTTAAACGGTAAATTGGAAGCGTTTATTGCAGAAGGGTAGATTGGGGCGCAATTATCCGAAAATCCCAAGATAAGATCGCAATTAACGGATATGGGATTCCGATTGGTTGACGATTAGTAGTCGTTACGTTTACAAACTAAATCTCTTAGCAAACTTTACTAATTAATTACTAAGTCTTAATATTAAAAATAATAATATAAAAACGAATTTTTGAGTGTTAATAATAATTAAAATAATAATAATACACATTCAATCAGTTCCAAAACACACTGCAACACAATACAACATAATACACTTGATGTTTAATCTATATTATCTATATCGATTATTTGTATTTTTGTTGATTTGATTCATGTAAAAAAATCAACCAAAAATATGGGACCTACCTGCAATCATTACCTTTCGGATAAAAAAAGAATTATCAAAATCGGTGCACTAGCGGCGGAGTTATGCCGTAACACACGTAAAAAAACATACAGATGAATTGAGTACCTCCTTCTTTTGGGAAGTCGGTCAAAAACTAATGTACTGATTTTAAAAATTCTTTCACCATTAGAAAGGTAATTTATCTGTTAATGACAGAGACTATACTTCTATTATTTTTTAAATTCACGAGGGCGAAGTTGCGAGCAATAGCTAGTTTTTAGATGAGATTATTTACTTCGAAGACATAAACTTAAATATTTTTTTAGAAAAGCATTGTCTTATTGCATTGAATTATCTTGCCAAAGTTTGAATGGATGTATGAATCTTTGTTGCTATGTAACGTGAAAGGTTGACAGGTCTTAATATATATTTGGAACAACGTTACACAGTTCTGGGTTTTTGAAGTGTCCATTTATTTCGTCATTACCTAGTAATTCATTGGTGTTAAGTTGACATAAATTACAAAGGAATAAAATTACAGTTACGTATTTTGGAAACATATTTCAATAATTTATCGAACCAAAAACACTAACGAATAGTTAAACGCAGCTAGGTAACTCATTACTGAATTAGTATTTTTTACACCCCAGTGTGTCTGTATCTTTATTCATTCCATGCAAAATAGAACCGATAGTAATTGTGTTTGCTAGCGTCGTATGTGCACTTAAATTTCATGTTAACGCTTTATTGTATTAACTTGCTTCATACAAAACTTGTGTCTAATACCTATATTATGTTTGTTTTTAAAGTTGGAAAGTATTCTGTAACTTATAAAATACTAACTGTCGCCTGCGACTTCGTCAGCGTTGGTATTAGAAAACATACAATCTATATAAATAACAAAAAGCTACGTATCCCTCGGGAACCAGACATTTCTCGGGGATGAACCTTATCCCATGTGTACTCCAGACTTTGTTTTATATCTGTGCCAAATTTCAATAAGATATGTTGAACCGTTGCATGATGCAGAATGAATGAGTTAACGTTAAAAAAACTAAGTTAATAAATCCCACGGGAACCGTAACTATTCCCGGGATAAAAAGTAACCTATGTGTTCTTCCAGACTATGCTCTATATCTGTGCCAAATTTCATGAAGATCCGTTCAACCGTTTAGGCTACAAACGCTAACAAACATC